CGCGCCGTCGGACGACGGAGAAATCTCGGAGAGACGCTGGCGTCTCTCTTGAGCGTTGCGCGCGCGCCAGCGAGCTTACGACGATCGGAGAAACGACGGCAAAGACGGAGGGTAGTGGCAGTAGCGAAGAGAGTCGAGTCGCTTCTATTTTTTCTACGCTCAGCTGGTCGGAGCGTAAGTCTATTTTTTCACGCCTCGCGAACTGTACTTTGCTCAAGAGAACCGAGATAGAGAGCTCGGTCGAAGAAAAAAGGCGATGATATCGAGTCGATAGAATTGAGAGTCGGGAAAGAGCGCGCGTGAGAGAGCGCGCGAGCAGCGCGCGAAGATGTCGACGCGCCGAAGATCTCCTGCGGGATCTCCTCCGGAAGACAGACGATTGCCGATGCGCCGCAACCTTGTGCGGGAAACGACGGCGTTTCCGGGCGCGCTGCAGCTGCGGCGCATCGATCGTCGATGTATTTCGACGGCTCGAGCGCGCTTTCGGCGTCGAAGGGCCAAGGTCGGCCCCGCCGTTTAATCGCGCGGATTGTCGCGGCGATGCCTGCCGACGTCTCGCAAGATGCGCGCAGGATACACAGGTCTGTTCACAAATGGAAAAAGATACCTTAAGTTCCTCCTTGTTGTCTGTTGCACGTTCGTGCTTGATTGCGATTTGGGAGTCGACAAACGAAATTGTCCTCGACAAGAGTGGGTGGATACTCAAGGGGATGATGTTCGTCAGGATAGATGCGTACACACCCAAGAAAGAAATTCTAGTTGCGAGACACTATCTCCCGTAATCCTCATCCCTCTTCATCCCTTTTTTCACCCTGCATCTTGTTCGAGTTTCATTATTCCGCTCTATACTTCCTACTAACTCTACGCATCAAGTGATTCCTCTCTGCCCTTTTCTTCTTTTCCTATATGTCTCTTTACATCGCTAAGAAGGAGTTATCCATATCCTATAAGCTAACTTTCCAATCTTCTTACTCGCACAGCATCTGCCCCATCAGTTATCGTGTCATCCTTCTTCCGTGTACCTTTATTTTGCTTCCTTATCCGATGACTAAACCTCTTCACTTTTTCATATTTCTCGTATCCTCTTCTTCCTTCATCCATTGTGTGCCTCTGTTTCCTATTACCATCTATTGTACACTTTTTCTATCAATAATTTTTTCCATAATTTGCTTGCATTACTACTCAGAATACTTCTTTTTGATTTTAAAAGAGTAAAATATTTTAGGATTCCGCTAAAGATGAGATTATATCTTTCTTGGGTGTAGAACGGATTAGAAAAGAGAAGCGTTCAGGTGCAGGAGAGAATTTCAGGATACGCTGGTGAATTGCCGCAGGTCGGCGAGAGTGGATAGAGATGGAGACAAATGATGCTCGACGACAAACTCGAAACGCTCGAGCGCGGATAATTTCGACGAGTCTCCCGATACTTCGTACGGATAACTTTGCGCTATCTCGCGCTGCTTATCAGAAAAGGCGAACGAGATAGCACTCGTAACTCGTCGGATATAGTATTGTCTCGGTTGCGGATAACTCGTTAGGCAGGCAGGTCGCAGATTCGCTTAATGAAGAGCGCGCTGATAGGGCTGATTACGAAGTCCTTATTAAACTACGTGCGTTGGGAAGACGAGTCGGCTGGGAGAATCTGTTTTCGGCACGCGCGCGTCTGATTCAATAAATTCGCGTCGAAGGGATGGGCTGTGCGGGTCAAGGTGTAATTAAAAGGTCCCCTCGTAATCGGGTTCATAGCCGCGGTAATTGCCCGCCGGTTGGATGCAGTCCTGTATATGTTTACTCATATTGCGACAAGTCGCACGGAAACGCGTCCTCAGATTACTCGCTTGGATTCGAAATCCTCTTGCGCCGCAACAACGTGATGACCCATTAAGGGCCATCATCGCAATGATTTGGTAGACGGTAGACAGTAAGACGTAACCGCGATCGATTATTCTTGCAATAATCGACTGTGGTTGGTCAATTTGCTCACTGCTTACGTCTTACTGCCAATCCCATTGTAGATGGTCTCTTATACTCGCGTGCAGTTTGATGCAGATTTTCGGGGCTGGGAAGGATCGGGAATGTCCGTCGCGCTGAATTCTTGTCCGACTTCGGAAACCGCGTCGACATGTCCCTTCTCTATTATCTCTTTCCCGTGCCTGACCTAGGTCAACTCAGATTCGGGCGGCCGCGAGTAGGTGGTCGAATGTTTCCCGGAAACGGGCGACGTTTCCACCGACGTAACACTGCCACGCGGTGGTTGAAATTGTTACTTGAGCGTACATGCACACTTTCGTACATGCCGGTCGCGCGCGCGATACATATGTATGCATACATATGTACGCGTACTGTCGTCCCCGCGCGTGATGTCGCCCCAGGTGCTCTTCAAACGCGACATTATTCAATGCTCTTTTAGTCGAGCGGAGTAAACAGGTACGCGCAGTTTTGCGTTTCGCCGTTGCGCGACTAATTTCTCATTTAAAGGAAAACGGGAAATTACGACGCGGAACGAGACGCAATCAGGACATGTCCGTGGAATGAATCCTCTTCCCCGGCCCTCCGACCGATGGAGGCCGTCTCGAGGCCGTCAGGCGAACGGGAAACGCCTCGTCGAATTTAGGAAGATGGATATCGTCTTGCGACAATCTCGCGGATATGATTAATTTGGGCAATCTTCGAAACGCGATGTATAAAATCGAGGGAACACAAAGGGATATACACAGGTATGCAATATGTCGCGTTTAACGCATCGCCGAGGGCATTCGGTTTATCGCATTTGTATCCACCGGCACGGCGCGTGTGCTCGCGAATCATAATTTCCAGTAGCGGCGATAACGACCGACTGATGTGTACGCGGATTTTATTTATTGCATTTCTATCTTTGAGCGGGACGCGCGCGCTCGTGTATCATAATTTCCAGCGATGCCGGTGAAAGCGCGGATTAAATCTGTTAACAGCCGTTCAAAGCTTGTAAATCCGCGTTGGAAACCTCGGTTGAGGAGATTTTCCAATTTTCCCCGGTGCCTATTGATTTCGCGCGGGTAACACGATTATCGTTTGAGGGAGGGGGGAGAAGCGAGCGAAAGAGTGAGTGAGTGAATGAGACAGACAGAGAGAGGGAGAGAGAGAGGTCGCGGGGGAGAGTTCAAATTAATATCAGAAACTCTGCGATTTGCGCGAATTATCGTTTATTACCGACAAATGAAGCTAAAGGATCTCCATGTGCACCGCAATTTTCCGCGAAATGGAACTCGCATGGAAAACGCGCTTCGGCGGGCGCGTTAACGCGGCCGGAGGATCTCGCGGAATTTTCGCTTTAATGTATCGAGCACCGTTCGGCTGAGTATACAGCTTTTTTTTGCAGTAATTGCGACGCGGCGCCAAGGAAGTTTGTCGCGTAGGGCTTGGAGGAGGCTCGCGTACGCGATTTTTCTCGCGCCGTTAAGCCCGCGCTTAACCGAATGGATGAAAACGTGAGAATATATCCATTTTACGCGCGGAGCACTCTCCCGCCCGTATCTCCGCGGTCTGGTATTTACGTGAGTAAGCCGCGCGCACTCTCGGAGAGGTCCCGCGAATTTAATCCGCATTTTCGCGACGAGAGTTCGCGGAATCTCGAGCGTTGTGCGGCGAAACGTTGCGGGCCGAAACGGAGCAAAAAGTAACAATCAGCGGCCGATTTCACTCC